TACTCTACATGGTTTAAAATCAGGAAAGGTGCGCATCAGGGTTGTATTATTTCACCATACTTATTCAATCTGTATGCTGAGCAAATAATTTGAGAAGGTGGATTGTATGAAGAAGAAAGTGGCATTAAGACTGGAGGAAGACTCGTTAACACCTGAGATATGCAGATGACACAACTACGGTAGCTGAAAGTGAAAAAGACTTGAAACACTTACTGATGAAGATCAAAGACTACAGTCTTCAGTATGAATTTAATACCTCAACATAAAGAAAACAAAAATCCCCACAACTGGACCAATAAGCAACATTAAGATAAATGGAGGGAAGAATGAAGTTGTCAAGAATTTCATTTTACTTGGAACCGCAACCAACGCCCATGGAAGCCAAAACCAAAAAACAAAATCACTGCCATTGAGTAGATTCCGAATCATAGTGACCCTGTAAGATAGAGAAGAACTGCCTCATAGGGTTTCCAAGGCTGTAAATCTTTATGGAAGCAGATTACTTCATCTTTCTCCTATAGAGCAGATGGTGGGTTCAAATCACAGATCTTTTTGTTAGCAATCAAATGTTTTAACCACTACGCCAACAAAGCTTCTTACCCATGGAAGCAGCATTTAAGAAATCAAAGGATGTATTGCATTGGGCATATCTGCTGCAAGAGACCTCTTGAAATTTGTTGAGAAGCAAAGATGTTACTTTGAAGACTAAGGTGGGCCTGACCCAAGCCATAATGTTTTCAGTAGCCTCATATGCCGGAGCTCTGGTAGCATAGTGGCTAAGGCATTTGACTGCTAACCAGAAGGCTGGCGGTTCAAACCCACCAGCCACTCCTCGGAAGGAAGATGGGGCAATCTACTTCCATAGTGATACTGTCTCGGAAACCCAAGGAGGGGTCACTATGAGTCGGGTCCGACTCGACGACACATAACAACAACAACAACAGCCTTATATGCATGTGAAAGCTGCACAATGAATAAGGAAGACCACAGAAGAACCGATGTATTTGAATTATGGTGTTGGCAAAGAATACTGAATATACCACAAAGTGCCAAAAGAAGAAACAAATCTGTCTTATAAGAAGTACAGCCCGAATGCTCCTTAGAAGTGAGAATGGGCAGACTTTGTCTCTCGTACTTTGGTCATGTTGTCAGAAGGGACCAGTCTCTGGAGAAGGATATCATGCTTGGTAAATTAGGGTCATCAAAAAAGGGGAAGACTCTCAATGAGAGGGGCTGATACAGTGGGTACAACAATGAACTCAAGCATAACAACAATTCTGAGGATGGTGCAGGACTGCGCAGTGTTTTGTTCTATTGTACACAGGATTACTATGAACTGAAACCCACTCAATGACACCTAACAACAATAACTACTTATTCATTTTATTGTTTTTAGGATACAGACCAAAATCCTTAACCTGGTTTTCAAGGCCCAGCATGGTCTGGTCCCTGCCCATCTCTTCAGCTTCATCTTGTACCACTCTCCCCATATGTCCCATGTTTTAAACATACTGGACCTCAAGTTCCTCAAATATAGTATGCTACTTTTTGCCACAAGGCTGTTAAATATTTTTCCTACTTCTGGAATACTCCCCTCAATTCTAACTTCTCCTACCTTCTCCTAATCATTTTTCAGATCTGAGGTCAAGGATTACTTCCTCAGAGGTACCCTACCCTTACCAGGTTACTAGGTTAAGACAAGTTCTTCTGTTATGTCCTCTTATAGAATGAATGAATGAATGTTTCACCTAAACAGTGGAATACTAGGTAGCCGTTAAGCAGTATAATGTAGAACTCTAGTTACTGACCTAGAAAAACATTTTCTCTCCCTCAACACATGATGTTTACACTTTTATTTACATGTACTTCATGTAAAAAAAAGTCTGAGAATTGAATATTAAAATGTTAATAATAGAAGGGTGGAATTAGAGAAGATTAACTTTAATTATTTTATGAATTTTATCATTTTTATAACCTTGTAAAATTATTTATGTAATAAAGAAATATGTTTAAAATATTTGTTAAAATGGAGGAATAAGTTGGATAATTCATAAAGAATGCTTGTGCATACCTTTAGCTCACCATTAAAAAAGTCATGTACAGATCTGATCAGCCTCTCAATGATGGCCTCACCAACAGGTCTGTAGTAGGTCAGGTGGCCGGAGGTATCTGTGAGGGACTCCTGAGGTAGTCCAGTGATATCAGAGATGTCCAAATCTAATACCAAAAGAAAGAAACTGGATGATGCCTCCACACCATGTAAAGCTGTATGGTTTAGTGGGAGAACCACTGGACATCAGAGAAGCCGGATCCTGTTCTCACCTTTACTATTGTTCTGTGACCTTGGCCAAATTTCTCCTCCAAGTCTCAGTTTTCTCAACTGCAAATTTAATGTTCTCTAAGGGTTTCCTAAAGGAGTTCTGGTGGTGTAGTGGTTAAGGCATTTGGCTGCTAACCGAAAGTTTGGTGGTTTGAACCCACTAGCTTCTCTGTGGAAGAAAGATGAAGCAATTTGCTCCTGTAAAGATTTATAGACTTGGAAACCCAATGGGGGTTGTTATGAGTTGGAATCAACTTGATGGCAATAAGTTTGGTTTTGTTTTGGTTAAGGGTCTCTTAAACTACAAAAACCTTTAAGACTGGGCTACAGCAGCACGGTTCATAGTAAGGACTTTAAATCTCAGTTTGAGACTAGATTGAATCCAGACTCTAATATGTATTACTGTATGATCCTCAACTTAGTCTGCCTCCTGGAGCCTTAGTTTCCTTATTTGTAAAATGGGAAGGAGCTACTCACCTCAAAGGATTAGTGTAAGGATTAAATGGGATAATACAAGCAAAGGACTTAGCTCAGTATCTGGCACAGAGTAAGCACTTAATAAATGGTAGCTCTAATTCAAACTGACACTCCATGGCTTAGTGACAAGAGCTTAAAATACTGTAGTAGTCCCTTACTGATATTTATCTCTTCCCACTGGACAAGGTTGCAATGAGTGCTGGAGATGCCTCCTTCCCAAGGCAGGGTTTGCTTTGATTAAGGGCACAGCCTCCAGTATCAGTCTACCTGAGTCCAGATCCTAGCTTTTCCCTTTCTAGCACTAGAACCTTGTTACCTTCTCTTCCAAAATGGGGATACCAGCACCTACTTCATTTGGTGAAACAGACCTTGTACCAAAGAAGTGTAATATCTACTATTTCTTTGCTCACTGAGAGACAATGATTATAGTGACATCATTTTCTTCCTCCTGCATCTCTCAATCTTTTTCCCAGAAAATCCCTCATTCCTTTTGGCCTAGTATTCTTACTATTCCTCCCTTAATACATCTAGCATCCAAAAGTTTTCTGCCTGTTTTTGTGCTCTTCTGTTCTCTTGAATGATAACCCTTTCTGCCAATTTCCCCAGCCCCCTACCACATTCTTTTCACCCACTAAGTGTAATAACTGAAGCCATGTTCCTCTTTGCACAGGCTGTTCTGTCTGCGTTGTTTCTTCTTCCTCTGCACACTTTCCGTTACCTCCCTTTGCTTAGCTAACTCCTACCCATCCTTCAGGCCTCACCTGTAGGTATACCTTTCCTGAATCCCCTCTCTGTCCATTTTGACTAAGTATCCTCCTAGTTACTAATAATTTTCTGCCCATTACACTTACTATGCTGAGTTCCAATTGCCTGTTTATCTATAAGGAGATTGTTTTGTCCTGTTCACTGCCAAATCTTCAGTAGTTAGATCAGTGCTTAGAGCACAATAGGCTTCAATAAATATTTGATGAATGAATGTATGAGAATGAACGCACTTCCCCAAATAAACCAAGGCCCTTCCTGTCTTGTGTACATGCCATTCTACCTACCCAGAATGTTCTTCCCTCTACTTCTCACATATGTTGCTCCTTCCTATCCATGATGCCTCCTTTAGGTTTAAATGGCATTGCCTCAGACAGACAATAGTTTAAAAGTAGGTTGCTGTCTCCCTTATTTTTGGCATTTTTCTTTCATAGTGCTTACTACAAACTGTAATTACTTTCTCTAAGTTTTGGGTTTCATTTCTACACTGCAATGTAAATTCTGTTAAGAGTTGGGACCATGTCAGTCTTGTCTACTTTTGTATGTCTAGCATCTGGTACCCAATAAGCGTTTGTAGAATTAAGTGAACATGATAATTTTGCAGCCCAATCCAGATCCCACCTTCTGCATGAAGTTTTGCAACTCTGTGAGCCCACATTCATCTTTCCCTTCCCCGAATCCCTGAGACTCTCCTGCAGAATCTACAGGACTCTCTGTCTCAGGACTAACTTTAGTTTCCTGTACGTCTAGAATAACATATCCTATCTTACTCTGCCAAACATGTTCTATAGTCTCAAACTCAGGGACCAAAGTCATTGTCAGAGTCTAGCCAAGGGCTGGTCACCCAGCAAGTAAAAAATCAGTATCTCCTGGCTTAACTTGGAAAGGGATTCCCTTCTCCTCATGCCACTTTTTTTTTTTTTTTTAATCCTTTTCCCCTTTCACCTGTAATTTCAAGACTACTTGGGTCTTTTTTAACATCTTCTAAGTTGCTCAGCTGCAAATCCACACTTTCTGAGTCACTGTCGGAAGCATAAGGGATCACTACTTCTTCTTGGCCACAGATCCTAGGAATAAAAAGGGGATTAGAAAAATTACAGTTGATTGCTGTCCAGGATCCCTCACAGTCCTCCTACCTTTCTGCCCCAGGCTCACTTCTCAGGCTTAGGCTTTTTTTTGCCAGTTATCTTGTTCTTACTATAAAATAAATGTTATTAGAGAAATATTTATATATATATGCACAAGAAAACATACATAAGGATGTTTTACTACAGCAATGTTGCAATAGAGAAAAAAACTTGGAAACATCAATAGGGGAACAGTTAAATTCTGGTACTGATTAGAATGGTGCTATACTCTGAAGCCATCAATGGGAAAGAGGTACATCTATAAGTACTGATATAGAAAGAATGCCACAATATGCTATGTGGTTACTAATGCAAGTTGAAAAATAATACACCCAGTGTGATACCAACTATATATGCATAGAAGAAGTCTGAAAGGACCCACACCAAAACTGTAATAGTGGTTCCTTCTAGAGAGAGGAGTGACTTGGGACAGGGGAGGGAAAGTGAAACGGGCCAGTGGACTTCTGTTTTGTGAAGAATGATTTTCTTTCAACGAGAATTTATTTATGTATTACTTAAGTAGTTCTTTTTTTTTTTTTTAGTAATCTATTTTACTTTTTGTTGCTTTTGAGAATATACATAGCAGAACATACACCAATCCAACAATTTCTACATTTCCAATTCACTGACATTTATTACATTCTTCAAGTTGTGCAACCATTCTCAGCTTCCGTTTCCTAACTGTTCTTTGCCCATTGACATAAATTCACCGCCCTCTAAGTTCCCTAACTAATCTTTTGAGCTGCTGTTGTCAATCTGATCCTATATAGATATTTCTTTAAAAAGCACAATGCTCAAGGCAAACATACTTTGCTAGTTAAACTAAATTATTGTGTGGTTTTAAGAAGACTTCCAGGGATATTTTGGTTTAAAGTTTAAGGTTTAAAGATTATCTTATCTATCACAGAAGGACAAATATTGCATTAGTTCACTATTGTAAAAAAGTCAAAGAAATTTTTATATATGGAGGGAAACTTTCTTTGTCGGTTGCCAGGAGTGGAAGGGGAAGGTAGGGAACACTGTAAAAAATAAAAATAAATAAAATTGAAAAATAAATAAATAAAGATTATCTTAGGCAATCGTTTTGGGGGTTCATCCAGGTTCCCTGGTTCCAGAAAGTTTGGATATCATGAAAATTTGAAATTCTGTTCTGCATTATCTTCCTTTTGATCAAAACAGTAAGTAATCATAGCCAGGCTCCGGCTCCATCTAGTTCCTCTGGTCTCATGGCAAAGAAAGCAGTTGCTCATGGAGGCAATTAGCCACACATTCCATTTCCTTGTATACCTGACTCTCCTTCTTCCTCTGCTGCTCCAGACAAACAGAGACAAATTCTTGTGCCTTGGATGGCTACTTGCAAGCTTTTAAGAGCCAGGCACTAAGCAACAAACTAGGAGGTTGAACAGAAGCACCAAACTCGTTATCAGGCCAATTAAATGGGCCTGAAACCATGACCCTAAACATCCAAACTAAGAAACCAAATGCAGTGAGGTGTTTGGTTGTACCTAAGCAGCAGCTGTTTTTGTTGTTGTCGTAAATATATCTATCACCAAATCAAACACAAACCCACTGCCATCAAGTTTATTCCAACTCATAGTGATCCTATAGGGTAGAGCAGAACTGCCCCATACGTTTCCAAGGCTATAAATCTTTATGGAAGCAGACTGCCTCATCTTTTTCCTGTAGAATAGCTGGAGCTGCCAAGATTTTGGTTAGCAGCTAAATGCTTTAACCACCAAAAAAAACAAACCAAACTCATTGCCATCGAGTCGGATCCAACTGACTCATAGCAACCCCTCCTTGTTTTTCTGAGGCAGTATTGCTACAGAAGTAGATTGCCCAATCTTCCTTCCTCCTTATATCTATTACAACATTTGCCAATTCAACTTTTTACAGGTGTACAACTTTGCTGTTGTTGTTAGGTGCTGTCGAGTCGTTTCGGACTCATAGTGACCCTATGCACAACAGGACAAAACACCACCCAATCCCACGCCAGCTCTGCAATCCCTGTTATACTTGACCCCATCGCTGCAGCCACTGTGTGTCAGTCCATCTCCTTGAGGGCTTCTCCTCTTTCGTCAACCCTCCACCTTACCAAGCATGATATCCTACTCCAGGGAATGGTCCCTTCTGACAACATGATCAAAGTAGGTGGGACGAAGTCTGGCCATTCTTGTTTCCAAGGAGAATTCCGGCTGCACTTCCTCCAGGACAGATCTGTTAGTTCTTTTAGCAGTCCATGGTACTTTCAGCATTCTTCGCCAGTACCACATCTCAA